TTCTTTAGATCTCAGCTTGGGTAGATGGTCTCAACAAGAAGCTGACTTTAGAAAGTTTGAGGCCCCAAATATTTTGCCAACACAAATCCTTAAGCTACTTTATGACATTAGAGCTAAAAGTAGAGCATCTGATTTTAGTATACAAATTAAACTACCTACAGAGCCAGGCAGATAACATAAATGAGTTATGTTCAGTCGATTCAGAAACTACTACTAATACATATACTAAGCACTGTTCCAATTCATCTTAACTTTATATTTTATTTTATTTAAGACAGAGTCTCCCTCTGTTACCCAGGGTGGATGTAGTGGTGTGATCCCAGCTCACTGCAACCTTCACCTCCCGGGTTCAAGCAATTCTCCTGCCTCAGCCTCCCAAGTAGCTGGGCCTACAGGTGTCCACCACCACACCTGGCTAGTTTTTGTATTTTTAGTAGAGATGGGGTTTCACCATGTTGGTCAGGCTGGTATTGAACTCCTGACCTCAGGTGATCCGCCTGCCTCAGCCTCCCAAAGTGCTGGGATTACAGGTGTGAGACAACATGCCCAGCCTCATCTTAACCTTTTAATAACCCATGAAGGTAGGTACAGTTATTATCCCTAGTTGTACAGATGAAGAGCTATGACACAGAGTTTAGTAACTTGCCTTTCACATAGCTGGTATGTTGAAGACCTGGGATCTGAATACAGCAGTATGGATCCTGAGTTCTACGTTTAGCCAGTTGGTTCTTCTGCCTGCCAGCAATAAATAAATATAGTAAGTGATAACAAAGTACTACAGAGAAAAAGAAGCCAGAGTGAGGGGAATAGAGAAAGCCATAGAGTAGATAGGAGAAATTTATTATTTTATATAAAGGCTAAGGAGCCACTTTCAAGTGGTGTGATTTCATTTGGGCCTTGGCAGCTCTCTGGGAATGTCCCAAGTACTGCAAAAAAAAAAAAAAGCAGGTGCAAAGGTCCTGAGGTAGGCATATGACAATGTAGCAACATTGGAAGTGTTGGGACTATGACCAACTGCAGTTTGTGATTGTTCAGAATGAGACTTCTCAACTCCAGCCAGTTGTTGCCAGACAGGAATATAGACCACTGGCTTAGTCTCTTTTATTCTGGATCACACTTTTGTAGAGTCTTACTCAGAAACAGAATACCTGAGACTGGGCAATTCATATGAACATAAGTTTATTGACACCCAGTGCTGAGAGGGAGAGTGAGGAAGAAGGGAGAAGGGAGGGGGATAGAGAGCTGACTCGCCCTTTCATAACAGTACTAATTCCATCTGTGAGGGTGAGCCTAATCGCCTCATGGCCTAATTATCTCTTAAAGGTTCACCTGTTAATACTGTTAAAATGGCAAATTTCAACGTGAGTTTTGGAGAGGACAAGCATCCAAAGCACAGCAATCAGTGTGGCCATATCTTCCAGTTGTTCAGTAGAACCCACAAATTTTTAATGTATATTTTCTTGGTTTTGAAATGGTCACATCTAACTCAAAAAAAAATTAACACTATGACAGCCAAACAAATAATATATGCAGACTGATTATGACCCATGGGCCACTAGTTTTTTACTGTCTAATTCCCTTGGTTTGCGTTCCCCAGGACAGATGCCAGAGAGGGAAAGCAATTTGTCCAGAGCCCTACATGTGCTTGCCAAGCTAGTCTTAGTTAAAAATCCAGGCTCTGAAGCCGGGCACGGTGGCTCACGCCTGTAATCCCAGCACTTTGGGAGACTAAGGCGGGCAGCTCACCTGAGGTCAGGAGTTCAAGACCAGCCTGGCCAACATGGTGAAACCCCATCTCTACTAAAAATACAAAATTAGCAGGGAATGGTGGCACATGCCTGTAACGGTAGCTGCTTGGGAGGCTGAGGCAGAAGAATCACTTGAACCCGAGAGGCGGAGGTTGTAGTGAGCTGAGGTCATACCTTTGCACTCCAGCCTGGGCAACAAGAGTAAAACTCTGTCTCAAAAAAAAAAAAAAAATCCAGACTCTGGAGCACAGACTGCCTAGGTCTGAATGCAGGATCCACCAGTCATGGGACCTGGGGCAACTGCTTAACCTCTCCAGGTCTCAGGTTCTCATCTCTGAAATCAGAATGATAACATTGCCTTCCTTAAGAGGTTATCCATGTAAGCGTTTAGAACAAGCTTGTCCAGCCCACTGCCCACAGGCTGCATGTGACCCAGGATGGCTTTGAATGTGGCCTCACACAAATTCATAAACTTTCTTAAAACATAAGATTTTTTTGCAATTTTTGTAAAGCTCATCAGCTATCAATAGTGTTAGTGTATTTTATGTGTGGCCCAAGACCATTTTTCTTCTTCCAGTGTGGCCCAGGGAAGCCAAAAGATTGGACACCCCTGATTTAGAACATACAGTGTTCAGACATTCGATAATGGAAGTAGTCTATAATATTTGCTGCTATTATCATTGTTCCCACAAATCCATTCTTTCCCCTTGTCTTCCACCTTAGATTATATCAAATGCAAGCACAGCCTTCAAGTCAATCAGCTCAGCAAAGTGTTTGGTGTAAATAAAGGTTTTGCAGGACTTTATTTGGGTTCTGCTGCAGTCCCTGATATTGCAAGACTGATAAGCAGTGCTGATAAAAGGGCTGCTTTTTCCTGGAAGTGTTTCTTTTGGATTTATATTTGAAACAAGTTGAATCCTCTGAGCTCTTGCAAGGACCAGAGGTAAATCAAAGCAGCAATTTATTCCTCAAAGCCAGATGTGACCTTGCATCCCATCAGCCAGCCCATTCTCCTGGAGGGCTGTGATGAGAAGCTTTGACACTCCTGAATGTGCCTGAGGATTTATTTGTGCCTAATCATTAGCAAGGAGACGCTGGGTCTGATACAACTGATGCTGCGGAGAAGAAGGGGACGCTTATGAATCTTTCTACCTTAAGGAAATTGTGTTTTCCACCTTGTATTAGAGAGACATAAATTAAGGTGATGAAATGCCAGGGAACAGATGGGTTCTAAACCATTCTAAGGGAATTTTACGAATTTCACTTGTGTCTGGTTTTGTCTTGAGACACGAGAGTGACCTTATGTCTCTAGCCTCAGCAGATCAGAATTTACAAGGGATCTTAGGGAAGGATGAGCTAATCTCGTGCTTCTCAACGTATGATCCTTGGACCAGCAGCACTGGCATTAGCTGAGAACTTGTCAGAAATGCAGATTTTCAGGTCCCATCCCAGAAGTAATCACAAACTCCAGGAATGGGGCCCAGCAATCTGTGTTCGAACACGTTCTCCAGGTGATTCTGATCACGCTTGAATTTGAGAACTACTCATCGAATTCATCTAATCCATGATGCCTATCCCACAGTAACATCACCTGCTGATCTTAAAAAAAAACCTACAGCCTGGATCCCACCTCTGTGCAGTCTTAGGCAGGCTGGAGTGGAAATGGAGTGGGGTTTCTGACCTCCTCACAGTCAACACTTTGAGCTAGAGAGTTCTTTGTTGTGAGGCTGCCCTGGGCATTGTAGACTGTTCAGCAGCATCCCTGGTCTCTCTGTCCACTACAACAACAGGGCCTGTTTAGACAAACATATCTACAGACATGGCCAGATACCTCTCTGTGAGGCAAAATTGCTCCCCTGCCCCTCCCACCCTGTTGAAAACCACTGAGCTATAGCATAAGTATTTTACAAGCACCCCAATGGTTCTAACATGCAGCCAAGACCAAAAGCCACTGACCTCATCCAACCCTGTCTTTTTAATTGTCAGGGGAAACTGCAGAGGATGAGCTTTAGTGGTTCTATAGGTAAAGGCACACTTTCCCAGACCTGTATATTTTGTTCCTGATTGGAGTCCATGCCAGTCACAGCAGGCAATCCCAGGTAGGTGAATGTGTTTTTAGGAAGCTAGTTGGCCACCTCATCAAACGAATCCCACTCCAGACTCAGAACCCAAGATGAAAACAGGACTGTTACAAGCTTCAGATACGTCCAAGGTGACAATGGCTGCCTCTTTGTTACCTAGCCCCACAAAATGGGGTTCCAGAGGGAAGGAATGGGAGGTTACTACTGTTGCCTTTCAGATATCTTCTCCCTGTGCTGAAATGTCCTGTCTCTAAGACTCATGATCATAAGTTACTGTGCCTGGCTTGTGCTCTCACCGTTGCCATGTATGTTCTCTGATTATCTTTAAGCCTTCAGAGATACTATTTTTTACATGCTTCCTCTAAGCTAGGCCCTCACCAGATTCAAACCTTGTGCAATCCTTTTTTTTTTTTTTTTTTTTTTTGAGTCTTGCTCTGTCACCCAGGCTGGAGTGCAATGGCGTGATCTCGGCTCACTGGAACCTCTGCCTCCCGGTGCAAGCAATTCTCCTGCCTTAGCCTCCAGAGTAGCTGAGATTATAGGTGTGTGCCACCACGTCTGGCTAATTTTTGTATTTTTTGTAGAGACAGGGTTTCGCCATGTTGGCCAGGCTGGTCTCGAACTCCTGGCCTCAAGTGAGCCACCCAACTTGGCCTCCCAAAGTGCTGAGATTATAGGCATGGGCCACTGCACCCAGCCTCCTTGTGCAATCTTGAAAACACACTCCAGAAGAGTGGGTATTATTGTCCCCACTTTACAAATGACTGAAGTAAGGCTCAAAAAGGTGAAGTGGCCTGTGATCCCCCAGTGGCCAAGTTTATTCTGATGCCAAAGCCCCTGATGTGTAACAGCACTGTACATCCTTAAGGAGCTACTCATTTTTTCCATTTTCCCAGGTGTGTCAACTGAGCCTCCGAGAGGCTAGGCAGTAGATAGAATCATGTTGCTGACACCCCTGTTATAATATCCTTTCAGCTCTTTCCTCGGAATAAAATGGTAGCTGCAGTCATGGCCCTCGCCGCAAATGAGCCTTCCAAATGCAAGTGGGCAGCCAGACAACCTCTACATTCCCTGCATTTTGCTGGTGCCCAGAGGTGAAAACAAATGAATGCTCCATCTTTGGAGCCTTTGTGAAGACGGCAGGTGACACCTGTTCTTTCTGTATTGGCAGGTCTTGTACAGATGGAACAGACAAAGCAGCACATCTGTCATTGAAACAAATAAAACATCGGTGGAGCTTTCTTTGCCTTTCGATGAAGATTATATAATAGAAATTAAGCCATTCAGCGACGGAGGAGATGGCAGCAGCAGTGAACAAATTCGAATTCCAAAGATATCAAGTGAGAATGCCTTTTTTTCTCCCTTTTCTCCTGCCTGTCTTATCTTATCAGCCTTCCAGCTGAGTCAGGGCTTGAAAGACATTCAGCCTGCAAAAGAAGACTTAAAATAAAATGGAGGACACTACCCCCCTTCTCCAGATGTTTGCTGGCCATGGGCAGTTTCATGCAAAAATCAGTTTGCCCGTGTTGACTGATCTACTCAGTTGCTAATCAAAAATCAGATTAAAGCAGACACGAATCAGTCACTAAGGTTTTTCCGTGTCAGCCTGTTTATTTTTCTATGCATCTATGTAACCCCAGAATTACAGCTTAGAAAGTTAAAAGCATGACTCAGTCAGAAGGAAGAAGGAAAAGCATTGTTAAGTATGCTGTAGCAGTTTTTCTCCAGTGAAACAGTATATGCAGTTCAATGTCTTGGAAATATTTTGAATTTACTATTTATTTTGAATGGGTATATGTAACATGTGCATCAATGTGTATGTCTCTCTATAGTCAAGATTATCTTCACTTTCAAATATTGTTGAATAGCATGTGAGAATAGCATATTCTTTTTGAGCAAATACGTTCAATTCTATTTTTACAAATACCATGTTTGTAAATATCTTAGCAGTGTATTATTTTTTGTTGTTGTGTGTGATCTAATTTATTTAAAGAAAAAAAAAAACAGCCAAATCCATGGAGACAGAGTGAGGCTAGTGACTGGCAGTGGCTGGTCAGTGGGGAGTGGGGGCTTAGGTACTGGGTCTTCGTTTGGGGTGACAAAAAGGTTGAGGAGCTTGAGAGTGATGCTGGTTGCACAACATTGGAGTATACTTAGTACCACTGAATTGTACATTTTAAATAAGTTAAAATGCTAATTTTGTTATGTGTATTTTACAGCAATAAGAAAAGAAAGACTGCGGTTAGATGTCTAAGTGTAGATTTTCACAGGCTTTCAGATTTAGCATTCTGGAGATTAGGGGAGCATTGAAGGCTGGAGATATAAATTTTCAAGACATCGGTAAAGAGATGATATTTTAAATTATGGACAAAATCCTCACCACCATCCTGACTTTTAGTCATGTAACATCCCTCTGCTAAGGGGTGATAGGCCAGTGTTTCTGGATGGAGTTTATATTTACTGCATTTTTTTTTTTTTCATACAAACACAAAAGGCATTTTTGTCTTAAAAGCAGGGACAATTGGATTCTACACTTCATCAAACAAAGCCTCTAACTTCTGTTGAAAGGGAGCCAGATTTTTGGTGAGATGTGGAAGTAATCTCCAGGCCATGAAAATACAAGACTGGGGTTTATTTATCTCACTTCATTAAAAATCTGACTTTGTACTTCATGCTTTCTTATCATTGCAGGGATTGGTATTTTTAGGTAGACTGATGATTCCTGGTTTTATTCATTACAAAAACATATATTAAGCAATTATATTGGTGTAATTATTAGGTAACAAGGAAGTGACTGGGAGACAAACATGATCTGTTTCAAGGAATTTTTCATTAGGTTGGTCAAAGAGATCTTACAAGATTGAAGAGCCCCCGAATGACAGTTGATAGCTTCTTACTATGAAAAATGTAAGACCCATAAGAAAATGTAAAAAGGATTGAGGCTATTTTGTTTGGAGAAAAAGGGTAGATTTAAACAGACATGGGTTTGAACCCCAGTTCAGCCATTTACTAGCTGGGTGATCTGGGCACAAATTACCACATCTGTTAAGTGAGGTAATAATAATACCTGGCCTTCATCCAGTTTTTGCAAGATTTAAGTGTCATATTCATCTGTGCCCAGCACAAAGAGTTCAAAAGGGAGTAGCAATTTTCGCAGAGTTCAAAAGGGAGTAGCAATTTTCATAGAGTTCAAAAGGGAGTAGCAATTTTCATAGAGTTCAAAAGGGAGTCGCAATTTTCATTTTGTTGCATCATTGACGTGGCATGGTATCTATCAGTACTGTTACTAGTAATATTGAAGTTTCTTCTCACATTAGATGGGAACATCCTTATTTTACAAATGCTTTGACAGAGGTACAGGGCTGTCCTCTACCCTACTCGCAGGTTCGTAGCTAGATAGTCATAGAACTGATATTTAAAAGCCATTAAGATCTTGATCATCATTTCTAGTAGAATCCACGCAGGTCTGCTGTTTCAGAAAGCCCCGTGGCCGCTCTTCCCTTTGAAGCCAGGATGGGGCTGTTTTGAGTGAATTTGTTCTCTCTTTTCAGATGCCTACGCAAGAGGATCCGGGGCTTCCACTTCGAATGCATGTACGCTGTCAGCCATCAGTACAATAATGATTTCCCTCACAGCTAGGTCCAGTTTATGACAAAAGTTATCTCAAGGACTTGCTGTTTATAATATAAGCAACATTTAGCTAGTTGTTTTGAAGACACCCAGTACTAAGTAATATTGTTGTTCAAGTACATCTTATTACTGGAATAAAAATGTTTTTTGCTTCTTTAGGAATGGCATTATACAGTACTTCCTCAAAGCAAATCTAGCTTTGTCTGAAGTTTCTTTGGAAACTCTGCAATGCACTGAAGACATCTGTAATATGATGTTACCAAAGCAGTTTACATATGTCCTTATATGCATATTTTTTATTATATATTTAGTGTTTTATAGAATTTTTTAAAGTTAACATATAATGTAGATATTACTTTTTTTCCTCAGCTGTAAAATGCTATGGACAACACAATCATGCAATTATAATTTGAAAATATTTCCTTTAAAGACAGAGTTTGAAACTCATCTTGGTAAATAAATTGCAAATTACTTGTACAGTTTTACAAGGATCTCGTGGCAGAACAGCTGAAGACTTGGTCTATAACTCAAGGCTGCTGTATGCAAATTACTCTTCTAGTGGTTAATGCATTGAATCAAGTCCTTTTGACATGTACAATATGTTTTCCCATGCCGTTGTGAATTTTGTTGTTCAATACAACTTGAGATGGTTTCAGGAATGGCTGCAATCTCAAAAGCTAAATTTACTGCCCAAGAGGCACCTTGTGCAATATTCCCATCCCTGAATTTAGCATTGTACAGTAAGATTTTCTTTTCACTCAACTAAGTTAGCATTGTCTTTGTAGTAGCACTATCTTAGACATTAAATTTCAAGTAACATATATCCTGTAGTAACATAGACCAAAAGTTACTATAGTCCACCAAGTCTTTCAAAGGATAAAAGATAATTTTATTATCTTTAACTGTATCTATTTTGAATGTAAATTTTAAAAAAAAGTAATTCTCTGTCAATGGATTCGTAATTTCTTTACAAAATTTCTTATATATAATATGTGTATCTCTGTAATAATAGAGCCCTTCTTTTGAATCAAAATTACATATGGAGTTTGGAAGATTTCTCCTATTTCAACAAATAGTTGCTGCAAGAATTTTTAATATGACTCTATGAAAGATCTTTAGTACAATGGTATGGTTTCTTGATGATTCTGTTTTGCAATAGGGAGCCTAGTTGCTTTATATACTTTACCTTCTAACTCTTAAAATCACACATTGGAAAATGACAATATCAACAAAACTGTATTCTTATGAAAAGAACTATTTGTTACAATGGGAAAGGTTTTGTAAGCAAACGCTAGTGGAACAGTTACATAAAAGGCAATGAAATTTTCTATAAACATTTTCTCATGTAAACATGCTGCCACCTTTTCTTCTTTCTCAGAGAACTCAAATTTGCTGTAATTTGTCATTTTTGCTTACAAATAATATAACTTTTCAACCTTCTACTTATATTTATCCAATAAAGTCATAATCAGGATTCCATTTGTGTAAAAACTAGGGTGGTAACCGGAAAAAAAAAATATTGTCAGTATTTCAAGCTGTGTTCCTTTCTTAGTTTGATATGGTTACTTCTATGTTAAAATAAAATAAAATTTAAAATCACATGCAAAAAAATCAACAAAATAATAAAATGAATGAAAAAAAATGACACCCAGGGAGTTCCCAACCCCAGTGTAAATGATATTTACCAGTGATCTAGCATATGTAATCTTTTTTAAAGGTATTGTTAATAAATATTCTGTCATTTGTAAAGATACTTGTCTTTTGGGAGCATTTTTCCTGCCTGCCTGTCAGGGAATTTGTTAGCTTACCTTTGTGCTAATTATAATTTGGGATCATAGAGGGACTCAGAAGTCTCTACCCAAATCTAAATGACCCAGAGCTATTCCTTTGGAATTGACAACCCTGAAGACACGATTTCAAATCCTCTTTAGAAGTAGAGAGGGTCCTAATCCACAAGTAAGTGTCTTGAAGATGGGACTTGAATATTTTCTCTTGATTAGCTAAGTCTTTTGTATATTTACTGTAAGTATATGCGTTGTTTCCCTCACCCCCCATTTCCAAAAGGATAAGTTCTAAACTTGAGCATTTAAGGCTTTTTTTTTTTTTTTTTTTAGACAGTCTTCCTCTGTTGCCAAGGCTGGAGTTCAGTAGCACCATCTTGGCCCACTGTATCCTTGAGGGATAAAAGTTTCCATCTCAAGAGCTGCTCAAATAGGTGCACGCTTGGGATTAGTCTTCAGATTGTCTTTTAAGTTTTTTTTTTTTTT